TTCTAATGCAACAGTTGGGGCCTGGGGTTATGAGGCCGGGTATGATTAAGAGTTGAGGGTTATTGTTAGGGTAACTCATGAAGATCGGGGAAGGGTGTGATTTCGGGTATAATTTATCCCCTGCGGGGTTTGGGATGGAGTTTGGGTTTTCAGCCTCCAAAGGCGGGGGAAGCACGAGGCGTGATCGACTGTAGCCCACGCATCTCGCGACCAAGACCCACCGTGCAAGCCCTCGGTGGGAGCCCCCACCTCCTCGAACGATTCGCGACGTATCTGATCAGTGAATGACTTCTTGCTCCAAGCCTGTAGCCCTATAAACCCTAAACGCAAATACCTCAAAGGCCCGAACTTGCCCAAACCCCTAACTGGCGCGTGCCATAAGCCCCATAGGTGTTCAGGTCGCGGACCTGCGTGTTTCGTGGTGCTCTTGACTTGACTAAAATTTTCATGTCAATTCCCTGTGTAGGAACTCGTTTCGCGCGGGAAGGGAGCCAAGGTCCTGGCCTCCTGAAGCTCTGTTTTGCCGTAGGTTTAGGGTCTAGGGTTTAGGGTTTAGGGTTTAGGGTTCAGGGTTCAGGGTTCAGGGTTCATGGTTTCAGGGTCTGGGTGTTATGACGAAGGATGCCGTCTGAAGCCCTATTTCTTTGAGGGTTTTACCTGTAGGACCAGTTGGCCAGCTGTGTCTAGCAGCAACTCGAAGCAACTTCCAGCCCTGCAGCACCTTGGAAGAACGAAGAGTTCCTGGACCGCCAGGTCTTTCGGATGCCCTACGTGGCTTTCTGAGGTGATCGGGCCACGGTTTTCGCTTAGGGACGTAGGCCGAGAGAGCAGCAGATGCGAGGAAGCTGCGCATCTCACCAGCGAGGGTATCCAGGGCGGTCTGCACTGCAACCGTATGCAGGTTCCTGCAATGCCTAGTCTTCCCGATCCTTTTGGCCTGAAGGGCTTCCCGTGAGTCAGGAGAATCAAGATTCTTGGCCGTTTTTGTAGCTTTTGGAGCCGGCGGTGGCAGTGTTCGTCCGGATGTGATGGGTTGGCATGGCTTCCTCCGCTGAGCTGCGCACAAAAGTCGGTTTCGGATGCAACCGGGTTTAAGTGGTGACGTTTTAGTGATGTAGCGCGGGGGGCTGCGAGGACGGCCCTGCAAGGGAGGCGAACACGAATCATCTGCGGGCCCGAGGCTTTAATGCATGTACCTTAACCCACCATAACTTATAACCCACTTTTTTGGTAGGTTCTTATTATAAACCCTAATATGGGATTTCTAGGGGGCCCTTTGCAAAAAAGTAGGTTCTGGTCGGCTAAGGTAGGGAACTATCAGCTCTGAAGGCTGGTCACGCTGGGTGTAACGGTTCTGATGCGGGTGGCTGTCAAAATTATGGTCCCTTTGTGGGTCCTTATTATAATACGGCACCTATTATTTAGGGTACCCCAAAAGGGACCATAGTTTTGACAACTACCCATGTGTTGATTCAAAGCTCGAGCTGTTTCGGCGTGGGTGAGCGACGAGTCGAAACTCGGTTTTTGAAGGGTCACGTGCCATGTTTAGACGCCGAGGCAAACCTCTCAACCCTGAAAATTTGTCATGGCCTGCCAAGGTCATATTATAAGCTTTCCGACCCACACACCTCTGCTGTCGTCATGTATGATGCCGTGTCTTTCAGCCGCAGTGCCGCCGAGACATCTCAAGCTGCAATGTCTGGGGTAAACCCTAAACCCTAAACCCTAAACCCTAATCTTCGAGCATGGTTCGGTGAGTTTCTTGTAGCGCAGCCCAGTAGCTCTATGCTCCTAAACCCGAACCAGAAACCGTACATTCCAGGATGAGGCCTTTCAAACTCGGTCCTGAGGCTCAGTCCGGCAATCCTCTCCCCAAACATTCGAGTTGAAGCTCTCTGGGTGGCCGGCTATACAAGATTATCGCTTTTGCCATGGCGAGTCTCTTCGGCCAGCGGCGAGGCTTATGGACAGTGTATGGTTCAGGCTAACAGGACCATGACGCCCTAAACCCTAAACCCTAAACCCTAAAATGGAGGAACACGATTCCCTTCGCCTCCAGGTGGCTTGAATTGGCGATGGGCTGGGGTGTTTGATCCCCAGACAACGCGCCTACCTGCCTGCGGCAGGCATTGGAGCCTTCAACCCAGAGAACCCAATACCCCTTAATTAAGGAATATACCTTAAGTCATAATAGTAAGACCCCTATTCCTTAATTAAGGGGTATTGGGCTCTCCGGGAACTTGGGACCGCATAAAGCTGATCCTCAACTCGATTGTTTCTAGATTCCAGCATGCGACAGAAGCTCGAAGTTGCACAACTTGTTTCGAAGTTGCTTCTCTGGGTCAAAATGCTTGGATTGTCGAAGAAATTGAGCAGTGAAAGCGGGGTTGGGACCAGGTTAGGCAAAACTCTCTTGTGACATCCAACCGAATCTAACCTCACAAACAGCCGCAGGTCTGCGGCGGTACCATACGGAAGCACGAAATCCTATCTGCTCCTTAGCCTCACGGCTAAACCTCTCGTGGAAGCCTCCAAACTCGGATCGTCGCCTGGTGCATGCCCAGAATCCCAAGCCCGAAACCCGATAACCCCCCTAAACCCTAAACCCTAAACCCTAAACCCTAAACCCTAAGCCCAGAATCCCAAGCCCGAAACCCGATAACCCTGTATGGGCCCCAGGATCTCCGTCCCTGATGTAAGCAGTGTCGCTTGTCGTTTTGGATCTCTGCTTAGGCTGACGTCTTCTCTTGTTAGCAGGTTGCCGGTGTGGGGATGGTGGTGTTGGGGAGTCCGTTTTCGCCCTTCTTCAGTTTCACTCAGCCGACCAATTCACATACGCCTCGCCTGGACTGTCCGCGCTGTGACTCCGAAACCCGAAACCTACACCCCTTCTCTCTCCGAGGCCAACCCCGGCCAGCGCTAGTGCTTCGACGGAGGCATGGCCCGGCTTGCAGAGTTCCGGCATGGCTCGCCGGAATCACCTTGGGCAGACTTTGGTCTAAGGAGCTGCAGCTTGAATGTCTGATACTGGGCTCGAAACACCTCAGAAGAAGAAAGGAACAATGCCAGAACTCAACTGTTGCAGGTGCTTTTCGGTTGTTTGTTGCGTTGCATCTTGTTGCAGGCTACCTTGGTCAATGCTTCGCCACAACAGACAGATGCCAAAGCGGCATCCGCATGCTGGTGGCTGCGGCCGCGGCCATAGGCCCAGGCAGTGAGCCAGCGTGGAGATCCAACAGCTCGTTCATGAGCCTCTTGCGCCCAAAGAGGACCCAGAAGACCCACTGGAGGGGGAGTCTTTTTGATGACAGGCACTTTAAGCACAAACACAGCTTTTGGCAATGACCTGAATTGCGTTCAGTAAGTGTTTATCCCAGATCTGCAACTAATTTTCGCAGACTCTCGGGCAATGATTGAATCAGCACCGTACTTTCTGAAGCTGCCAGTCAAAATCTGCGTAGGATCTGTCGTCCGTTTGTTTGGATCTTTGCATTATGTTCCGCGCCCAAGGCGTTTTAAAACGCCGAGCTTGGAACGCCGAATCGAGACGTCGCTAAGCAGCCGAGAAAGGAGACGCAAGCAGAGCGCCACATCGGGGTGAGGGGGGCTCATGGGCTCTCGCATAGCATATCATACCCAAACCCGGTAGGTCAGCCTCCATGCCAACATGATGAAGTATCAGAGGGAAGCGTTGCGGGATGCCTTCGACTCGCAGGGAGTCTTGGCAGCCAGTTTTTTGTAGCAGAACCAACCCAAACTTTGAAGGTCGTGGAATCTAGGTGATCGAGGCTCTTCAGCTTGAACGGTGTAGCCGGCGGGCTCAAACGTGTCCCGAGCTGGCACCATGGGGAACTGTGCCTCCAGTGATCACAGCCATGCGAGTCACGAGCGTGCCTTTCCCATGTGGGTGGTGAAGGTCTCGGACGTGATGGCCATGGGTGGGGTGCCACAGTCCCACGAAGCTCTTCAAGCTTCCGGGCTGCTCGTGAAGCACAAGCCAGGCAGCTTCTGCATCTTCGTCTCCCACCAGCGGCTGGGAAGATGTTCGAGAAGACGAAACAACATGCCCGACGAAACGACGTTGGCGGTCGTTTTCACGTTCATTAGGGTGCAGTTGGGTAGGATCGGGCCAACCAAATTTAGAACTGCGGCAAGCTTGGAAGTTCCCAAAGGCTACTGCGCAGTCCGGGTTTCAGTCGAGGATCGCTAGGAAGAGCCAAGACCAAGGTGGCTGAGCCGTCATCATCCAGACCCCACTGGAGCGCAGCTGAAGGTTTTGCGGCAGGCATTGCTTGGAATCACCAGCGGCTGGGTGAGCCAATGGCAAGCTTCTGGGAGTTGCGGATTGTATTGTAGCAGATGGACTTCGAATTTCGAGCTTGGGGTTCGAGGGGCCTTTATAATTAGAACAGAGTTTTGGGGTATATTCTAGCTATACTTATAATCGGGAGCCCAAAATAGTATTGGCAAGTATTTAGGCCCCTACATCGACTTGGAGTTCTCACTCATCCTAGCAGAGTGAAGAGCCAGCTTTGCTGGTAGGTGCTACATCTACACCCATGCCTGCGCACTGTAGCAACTCTTCCATGTAGGCAGGCTCACGGTCGCGCTTGTTCGACACACAGAAAGCCACAGAAGCACCCCTAAACCCTAAACCCTAAACCCTAAACCCTAAAGCAAACTCAACAGGCGAACATCAAAGCCATGCCCAGGGCCTTGTCGCATAGAAGCTGTCTAAAGCAGATGGGTAGTTTTGTAAATTAGGGTCCCCTTTTAGGTCCCCAATATACGGCACCCTTATAAAAAGGACCCCCAAAGGGACCCTAATTTAGAAAACTACCCAGATGCTAACGATTCGTAATCTAACAAGGAAAAGTGTTCCCGAAACTTGCGAGATTCTGCACAGGAGAAATGAGGCTGGTATGCAAAGTCTGCCGATCTGTTCTAAGCCCTTTCAGAAGCCCAAACTCTCATGTTGCTAGCTCGGGTGAGGCGGTTCCATGTCCTTGCACTCTGACCTCGTCATGCAGTTCCTCAAGGGAAATCGCAAGTTGGTCCGGGCGGAACGGGAGCAGATCCTGCAACTCGGAGCCAACTTTGCTCGGATAAGCACTGTTTTTTTAGCTATTTCGTTCTCAACTTTGCAAGCAGAGGGGGTACTTCGCTTGCGGAGCTGGCATTTGTGAAAGTCCCAGTGGCCAGCTAGTAGAAGATAGTATGGTGTAGTCTGATCACCTTGAGGCAAGGATACCTATGGCTGGATTGGTTCTCTGTGCCACAAGACCCTGGCTCTGCGCCGGAAAGGCGGCTGGCAGTGCACTCGATCCCATCTTATGTGGATGTTTGC